TGAATACACTACTCTCTGCCTGCGCCTGAAAGGACTGCAGCAGCTCAGCCTCCACAGCGGGGAACCTCCCGCCATGGCCTCACTGCCCATAAAAATTTTGGCTTTTACACCCATCTCTTTAGTGGCTGATTTCTTAATGAGGTGGGGCTTACGGGATTGCGCTGTCAGTCCGTCTGCCCGGGGTTGCAGACAGCAACTGTCTCAGAGCCTGGTTCTGCTTTATGCTTTTATGCTTGGTTGCGATCCTCCCTTGGGTCACTGTCAGAAATCGCAGTGTAGGAACAACTTGGGCAAGGCCTGTCTGCCTCCGTCTGTCACGGGGGCAGGGAGAAGCCGGACCTGCTGGAACTGTCCTGTGCCAGGAGCTCTGCTAACTTCCCGGCAGCCAGGGCTTAGCTGTAAAAATCGTCACCTTGTGTCTGTTCCTGGGCACAAGAAGCAGGTCAGCTGGAAAGGCAACAGCCTGCCCCAAGCTGTGTTTTTACCTGGGTGTATATATGCTCTCAAGACTGGAAAACTGACTGACTCCCCGCTGAATCGACTGTCTGCAGAGGAGCTGAAGAGGACGGCACATGTTTCTGAACAGAACAGAAACAGCATTTCTGTGCGGGCTGGGAGAGCTGAATCTCCAGGAACGTCTCCCTCAAGGAGTCTTCCAAAACCAAATGTGGTTCCTCTCCTTCCCCTTCAGCCATCATCACCAAAACAGGTGATTCAGAAACCACCACGAGCCTTTTCCTCGCAAGAGAGCAAGCAAGTACGGACTGGAGAGCAGAGTACATATCAGAACTTCATGGTGCCGGCAGGTCTGAGCCTTTTCAAGGTCACAGTGCTCCTGCTTTAAACAGAACTGTTGAAAGCTGGGGGGGTGTTTTGAATTAAAAATGGATCAGATTGCTTAAATGCAAAAAAAATAATTTAACCGTCTCCACCGAAGCGTGGAAGGGAGGTGGTGGGTATTTTAGCAACCCCTGAGCACAGATTTATTGAGGGCAGCGATGGAAGAAAACAATGTGAGACCAGATCTGTAAGAAGCAGGCGCCAGGCTGTCTTCAAAGTCAAAGGTCTGCCTTTCTCATTTTCACACGTCTGCCTGAGAAATTAAATTGAATGCATACAAAAAAAAAAAAAAAAGACAAACACCATCTTCAACAGAGCTTGAAATTAAGTTTGTGCAAGAGCCTCTGGATCGTCCCAGGGGAGGGGGATTCCCTTCCTCCGAGTGTAATTTCACCTCCAATCAGCCCCAAATGTGATGAGAGACTGATAGGAGTACTTCGCTCCATTTAATAAGATTCATTCTTCCTTGCTCTTTCTCTTTCCCCTTCTCCTCCCTGCTTTTTCTCCTGGGACCTGCACCAGATCCCTGTTGAAAATGCGGCAGAGTGGCTGGGAAGCTTGGCCTTGAAAATGCAGGGCCCGGGGAGGGGAGGAATGATGTGCTGGTGTAACACAGTGATACCAAGCAGGGTGCTCAGGTAGTGTTGGTCTTATCCGCTGCCCTCCCAGTCCCTGGGCTTTCTGTCAAGGGCAGAGGAAGGTAACATTAATCCTTGTACAGGCACTGCAGGGGCTTTCAGACACCGTAGCCAAGCAGAGCTGTCCCTCTTTTTTGAGGGTGACAGTTTTCTAGTGGGGTGGATGTTTCAGGTACCTTTGGCCACAGCAGTTCTTTCTCAGCCTTTCACAGGATCTTGGCTCGTAAACCTCACGTTGCACTTTAAGCAACACCTTTGTGAATGTCATTTTTCTTTTATTACACAGGGATGGATTTGGCTTGTACCCTAGTATGCTAAATTTTTAGCAATGCTTCCTCAAAAAGAGTCTTAAAAGTGCTTCCATGTTTCTGGGAGGTTGGTCCCTGTTGTTAAAAAACCCCAAAGTTACAGATAGCTGATGTGATGTACCTTGGCCAAATGACAGAGTAAGTCAGTGAGAATGTTATGAACAGGACCTGGTCTACTAGCTTCTCCCAGGCTTGTGGATTAGCCAACAGTGGGCTCCTGTCATATAGGCCCATCCATTCTCCTCCAGTCTGGAAAGAAGAGGAGGAACCAAGAGACTAGAGTAGTTTCCCTACCTGATCCCACTGGACTGACATCTAGTGCCCCAGTTAGAGTTTGTACACTTTTCCCAGTGGGTCGTAGCTTACAGGGACTGGCAGAAGCAGGGACTGAAACAGCGTGCAGTTGGTTAGGAAGACTAAGCCTTGCAATGCCTTAGCCTGTGCTTCCTTACCCTACTGGTCCTGCTCCTGGCAGCCTCCCCCTTGGCCCAGGAAATGTGGTGGGCTCCATTGCAGAGGGCCACAGGCTACTGTCCTTGCCTGCTTCCCATCGCTTCCTGCCCTGGGCAGCTGCTCTTCCTCCAGGAGGAAGGAAGTTGAAAAACATCTCTTGAGATGTTTCACGGCCTCCAGAGCTACCTGGGAGAGACTTTTCACAGAGCAGACAGGGCTAAATGGGTATATGACCTTGGATCAATTTTTGCTGACACCTGAGATGTGATGGGTCACCACATTCCTGCAGGAGATCCCTTGTGTCTTACCACACTGCTGCCAGGAGAGCGTGTCCTGGATCTTCCCAGAGGGGAGGACAGCATGTGGGAGCTGGCTGGCCCAACAGAGCTGGAGTGGATACGGTGCACCCTGCAGAGAGTAGACCTTGCAAGGTCACCCAGTAGACCTCCACAGAACTCAGGCAGCTGCTCTCTGCCAGCAGCAGCCTTGTTCAGGCACGGCCGTGCAACTCAGCTCGCCGCTGCACTAAGGCAGTTTGTGGCACCTTTCCCCTCTCCCTCGTGATGGAGAATTGACCACCCACCCTGTGTTTTGACTACCACCCACTTCAGAGTTGTGGTCAGCACCTCTGGAGGGCAATCTCAGTAGGTACGGTCACGACCTCACCAAAATGACACCTTGCTGCTAAAGATGCCAAGACTGTGGAGTTTAGGCTATATTTTCCTGTCTCCTCCTGTCTCTTTCCTTCATCTTCCCTCATCCTCCAATGCAGGCACCAGACTCAGGGAACCAAAATGTTTTCACTTGATCTTCTCTTGTGGCATTTGGGTCAGACTGAAGGGAGTACCCTTGAAATGAGAACAACTAAAACTGATACGTTCTTGATTACGGAGCCTGCTGTGTTTTCGTGGAGAAGAAGCAAGCGCTTACGCTGCAAGACAAGACAATGGTGCAATGTCGTACTATTCACATCATATTTAATAACGCTCAAGTACCATTCAATATAAATAAATAACCATTAAAAATTACTTTCCTGACATTCTCTTTCCTTCGTCAACAGTATTTTCTGCAACAGGAAATGTTAGTAATATTCATTGGTTGGTTAATTGGATGAATCTCAGAGAACATGAATATCAGATACTAATATGCTAGTTAAAAACCAGGCGCTGGGATGCCTTCTCTTCTCAAAACACTTGAGGCTTGATCTGCAGCTTCCCTCCTTATTGCATTCACTGCATTGGCTTTCCCTGAAGCCTGTAACTCTGACCACTGCTCTGCTCCTGAGCTCTCCCACCCAGCTCTGCTAACAAACAGCCATCTTAACTTGTGGTGTCTCTTACTCCCCTACCCTTAGTTGACGCACCTTGGCCGGCAGTAGCACTTGCTGTCCTTAGGCCCCTCTACAAAGAAGAGAAATATTTGTGCTGAACAGGTCCAAAAAGTCTGCTAGCCTGGCATGTCAGCTGCGTACATCCACGCTCTCCATACAAGGCCTTGGTCCTGCACAATTTAGTGACTGACAGAATTTCTTGATTCACGGAAACTCTTCCCAGGTGGGACAAGAATGGAGATGGTGCTGGCCGTGCTCCGACCAGCGCTGAACTGACAGTGCAGCTCGTACCACTGCAATCCACGTCCCCCGTGGGAAAAACGGGAATAATAATTTTGCTTTCTTATAGGGATGCAGAGAGAACAACTCTCTAAAAACATGTGTGTGGAGGGCATCCTTTGCCATGGGAATGGTCCCTTGCTCCAAACACACACCGGCAGTGCCAAAACCCAACGTAGGGCCTGCATGAGATTAAAGGCCAGGGAATTAATCACCATATCCCCTCCTGTTCATACGGGCAGAAACCCTGCCCATCTCGGGGAGGGGGGAAATGGAAGATCATAAATCCTTTATTCCCTCACTCTTGCTTATTCATCGGAACCACAAAGAAGCGGGCTTAATCTTGGTTTAATGCTGGGCAGAAGCATTGAGCCCACCTGCCTGGTGGCAGGGATGGGTCGGCAAAGCCCACTGGAGTGCAAGGCCTGTTACCTCCAGCAGAGGACAGGACACAAAGCTCTGACAAATGGAGAATGAAAAGAGTTTTGTAGATGCCAGGCTTCCTTCATGCTATCCAGTGCCAGTATGCCAGA